GAAAATTGATCACTTGAAATACTTAGAAGGAGACATTTATCATCATCTTCTCATCCATATTATCACAAACAGTTATCATCGTCACTTTATCGTCAATATCATCATCATCTCCCATTCTCTATCAAAGTGATAATCTACAGGTAATACATGCACAAGGCAATGTATGTTATCAATTCAATTCAATCAAATGAAATTCATTGAAAAATACAATTTGGATTTGATTTAAATATTTGTAAAACAATTGAAACTGCAGCTAATTAGTTTGTCTGGTTGTTTTGAATAATTGGATTACATTTAGCCTCAGGTTAATATGATAATGATGACATTTCATTGATGACAATGATTTAAAGATGACATTGTAATTACATTGTATTTGATTAAATTGTAATATCTATTATAATTATTGTTAACTCTTCGGTGGTGATAATTTCCTACAATTAAGGTTCAATTAATTAATTTTAAGAAAAAGACAATCAGCCTCAAGTCATTTTCTCAATCAAATTCCTGTGAATCACCTTAGTTAATTATCAATAATCAAGGTAATCAGCAATTAGCTGACCAGAATTTTTGACATTTCCATGATTATAATCAATCCCTTAACAGTTTAATGATAATAAATAGTAAATGATTAATATCAGTTGTGTTACAAGTTCTAATGGTGATAATAAAAAAGTTCTGACTTGAGAATAACTTTCATGTCATCTTATCAAGTGAATGAACTTTTCATTTCATAAGCTTCCTTTTTCATAGTAAAGAGAAAACAATTTTTTCATGATAAATAGTATATTGGGAAAAAAAAGTTCTGAAAACTGAATAAACAAAATTAGATAAACGTTACAATTTAAATATGATCAACAATAGTGATTAAAAGATGTGTGTCAACATTTAATCAACTTTAACGCCTTAGAATGAACCAAGTATATGATAAATCAAATGAAGTGTTTTTTTTAATCATTTGGAGCGAGATAAACGTAGGTGAGGATTAGAAATGAAAGGAAGTTAATTGATTATCAAAATCTGTTGATAATTAAAATTATTGTTTATCAGATTAATGAGATTTACGATTAATTATTTCAGTTTTGTTTTCTATTCGTCAACCGTTTCACTGAGAGAACGTGCTGACATGAGACACGCAGTCGATTCCTGAACGTGCACTCAAAGTGCCATCAAAATATTTCTACAGAAAAAAAAAGATAAGTCAACATGATACAATCTCTCTCTCTCTCTCTCTCACTCGAAAAGTTGTGAATCCGATAATCAATAATCGTTCATGAATCAATCATGAACAATTTTCGGACACGGACTGATAGTGATTTATTTCCGTGATTGAACAAAACCTTTTACATTGGATTGTTAAACAATCAACAACAATTTTCATAATTATCGTCAGCACATTAATAATATTTCAATCAACCAAATCAGGTTTATCTTCAGTTATATATATTTAGTTAATAGTAACAATCAAATTAATAATCATAATTAAACCATCGTTGATTGAAGGTCTACTGGTTATGGGTCAAAATATTATAATTGTGTGTGTGTGTATTAATAGGGATGATGCGGATGAGGATGAAGATGAGGATGATAATGTTTATAACAATCTTCGTAACCAGTTGATCAAATAATAAATTTGAATAATCAATGAGGATATAAGCAGCAAAGATAATCAATTGACCTTAAGGGTAAATTGTTATTTATTATTACCTATTGATGATTGATTATCTTGATTATTTTTCTTTATCATAATCGATATAATTGAATCGCTCTAAATGTTTACCCGTTTATATTTTTACTAATCAAACAATTAACTTAACCATCGTAATCTCGTAAGGGTTAATTGATTAGGCACACAAAAGAAAAAGTCTAATATTAGCTACTTATCGTTAGAATTACATTGGAAACAATTAAATTAAATCGAACAGAAAATTTGTAACAATCAATTCGTTTTTCTTTTTGTTTCTATTAAAGTGAATGAAACAAAAAATTAATACTATTACATGAATGAAACTCACTAGAGTAAATTGTTAATTCCCAAGAATGAGAAGTTAATTTTAAATTGTTATCATTTAATAATCAGTTGTTGTGATTGTTGTTTTTTCGCATCATGTTGAGAAAAATAAAGAATTAATCTGATTTGTGATGAGAATGTGAAATTGATAAGTTCCGATTAAGTTACTATTCTTATCATGATTCTTGATTCGATTCTGTTTTTTTTTCTTATTACTCTTCAATGGTTAGAATTTACTGTTTATTGTTATTGTATCGAAAATTAAATTAAGATAAACCAACAATAGAATTAACTAAATTGTTCATGTTCAATGATGTTTTATATCATCATGTTTAACCTGAATAATTCATGATGATAATATTAATTGTGATTAATTTAACCCTAAAAATAATATCATCCTCCATCTTCATCATCATCATCATCATCATCTAATCATCTTCATCATCTTCTTGTGTTCAGGTTTACCTTTAGTTGTTTAGCTCATTTGACAGCGACTTGTTAATTGTTACTTAAATTTCAATTACAACGTTTCATTTTTGTTAATTTAATGATATCAAGTTAATTTACAATCAAATTAAATCATTATCATTAAATTTTTTTTCAAAAAAAGAGTTGGTAAGGTTTTAATGTTAATATAATCGAATTAAAATTCTAACAATTAACATTAACATGATAATTGATTAAAGTTGAAATGATTAGTAGGTTTTGTAAAAAAAAAATTTACGATTAAACAAAAAGGTTGGATTAAAATGGATTAGGTAATTAAAGTAGATGATTTAAAGTGAATGGGATTGTTTTTCGTTAATCAATTAGTGATTAAGATCATCAGAATTCATGTCAATTAGATTTATTTAGTTTGCTTGAAGTTTTTGATAACTTTTTTCACTTGATAATAGATTTTTTTCTCAATCATCTTTCATCACCTTGACCTTGTCTTGTTGATCATCATCATCACCATCATCACCATTATGTCAAATAGTTTTGGGGTTTTGTCAACAAGTTTAATATAAGTTGACCCACCGAGTGATCTGAAAGCTGATTAACCGTAAAAAAGCAAAAATCAAGCAACCAAGAAGAAAAAGATGAGAAAAAAAGTTGAGAAAAAAGATGAAGATGATGAGGATGAACTATCCCTTAGGGTCGAGAATATTTTTTTTATATAATAGTAATATCTCAAGATTCTGATGAACATCATGACGACCCTTTTCAGATTTTCCCTTCCTCTCTCTCTCCCCATCAGAATTTAGCATCAAAGAGGAGAGAAAGAGAGAGAATGATGTGGATTATGATGATAAAATACCGGCTTCAAGGTGAGTAAAAATTTAGCGAAATCATTGATAAAACTGAATCTCAACTAATACTCGGCCTCAATCCGATCAGACTGGTTTCTTCCTCATTCTCTCATCTTTTTTTTCTTCATCTTAATATCATCCTCATCACTTTTTTTTTGGACAAAAAAAGAATTTTTTTTACATCATTATGATAAGATTTTACCTGTTGATATGAAATCGACGAAATCAAATCAATTTTGAAAAGTCAAGGGCAATGAATGAATATTTGTTGTTTATCTTATAATAGCAATTTAGTAATCACATTGGAAATTTTCATCGAAATTTAAAAATGAAAACATTTAGGATTTAAATCAAATTGATTATTGGGAAGAAGGAAATTGTATTGATTGAAATGGGAAATGTTTAACACCCTTAACCTAATTGTTTCATAATTGTTAATCTTTATCATCTCTTAATTTTATTATCTGGTTAAGGTTATATTTCAAGTTTCAGATTTTTACTCATGCAAACTCATGAGGTGCAAGTATTAATAAAAAATCATGGGGAAAGTTGATGTTGGTAATATTAATGAGATAATCAAGATTAACATGGAGGGTGGAGGTTGATTTGAACTTGCAAGGTGACAGATAAGTGTTTGTGTCTCAGGTTACAACCTGAACTTGACTCGATAATCTGATAATAGCCTAAGGTAATTTTCTGGTCTCAATGGTTAATTGTTACTATTATATCATAATTCATCCGAATCACAATTTTCTACCCTTACTGATTATGTGATCGCTTCCTATTAAAATTCAATGATCATAAATATTATATTAGAAGCATCAATCAGCATGATGACAAAAATTGATAAACATCAACATTGTCATCATCTTGATTATTACTATTCAAGTTCTGATCAACTGTCATAATCAAGTAACAAATAAACGTTTCAAACGTGTTGGTTAATCACAACATTAACCAACCATCAATGAATATCATATATGTGTGTACATGATAATTGTTGTAAAGAAGATACTTTAACTGATATTAATTGATTGTTTTCCTATTTGATTTACTAATTTTGATTTGGTTTTTCAAATCACCGATGTGATTTAACTTCAATTGCTATCGGTCATGATTATGTTCACGGGAAAAGGAAATTACATTACAGTAATTAAACGTTTGTCTTATCAAGAATAAGAATGATATTATCGAGATGAGGAGGATGAAGATGATGATCAAGGAGAAAGGTGAAGATGCCCCTGGAGATATGATTCTCAATATTATTCTAAACTTATTATCATCATAGTTATTATACATTAAGGGGAATAAAGGTTATTCAATATTAAAGAGATAGGAAAAAAAAGGCAAATAAAGTTCATTCAACTTGAAGAGTCGTTTTTCTTGGGTAAAAATTATTGGAATAGCTTAAGGCCATTTTCTTAAGGAATTCATCTTATCGTCTAGAAATAATATTGAAAAATAACTTGTTTCAACTTTAATCATCTTCAACAACCTCAACATCTCTCTCTCTCTCTCTCTCTCTCTCTCATCTTGCCCCTGCCTCTTTCTCTTGTTACTGGTTTATAATGTTAACATGGGATGGGACACACACAGGTAGTTGTAAGAAATTAGATTAACAATTAAACAGCTCAAGCAATTGGCGATTATTTAACTATAATTATGATTAATTTTGTAATTTAAGGAAGTTCGATTCTTACCTTTTACATATTTCCTTGCCACGTCCCCATGAGTGTTTTATATTAAAATATTTGTAACATTGTGTCCCCGAAACATGCCAACCAGGGGGACATTCAAATATGGATGTGGGAAATGGTGAAGATGAAGAAGGTGAAGAAGAGGAAGATGTTAAAGATGAGCAAATTGAGATGACTGAATAGAATAGGAAGGCTAAGAAAATTGTTGATGATGATTTTGTAAATAAGCTTAGTGAGTTATGGTGATTTCTCGGAGGGAGCATATTGCAACTATTGAAGATGGACAACAAAGTTGCCGTCGAAGAAGAAAAAGAAAAAAGGATTTCAAGAAACCCAGGAAGACACTATCGGAGAAGAAGAAGAAAAAAAAGGTAAAAAAGAAAAACGAAAACAAAAAAGAAAAGAGAAAAGAGAACAATTGTTTATATAGAATAGAATTTGTTTTTAAAAAGAATATCCGAAAAAGATATAAAGATGAGAACAAGAAAACCAAATGTGAGTGGATTTAACCACTCAAAATGTCACGTTAATCACTGGAATTTAAGTTAATTGTCAATTTATCGTAAAATTGAAACAAATTGGTGTTCAAATAAATCATTGGTTAATCATTAACTGATTATATTTGTTAGAAAACAACGATTAGTTAATATAAAAAACATGGCGTCCAAAAGTATTAAGAAGAAGAAGAAGAAAAAAATTAGTCCGGTTAGAAAAGACTAACAGGTAAGAAAAGAATAAGAAAAGTAGAGTCCGTTTTTGTTTTATCACAACACAAAAATACTATTAAAATCAGTGGTAATAATTGAAACAGTTTCTTCTTCCTTGATTGTTGATTAAATAAATTAATAAGAAAGTTCACAATTAATTTTAATTATTAACAAAAATTAGTCAACGAAGTGACTTAGAAAATCAAATTGACTCCAACATTAAACTTCAGTCAATAAACTTCAACTCTCTTTGTTATTCAATCGTTTTACTTGCGATTCGAACGCCACCTGGTCAACCTTTTTAAGAATAAAAAAATTCTAAACAAGAACAGTTTCGCCATCTGGTGGTTCCTTGGGAGAAAATTAGTTAATTGTGTTGACAATTAACTGGAGAAAAATTGATTAACAATTAGAATTGTTTTTCCTTTTTTTTGTATCAACTTATTCTGTTAATTATTAAGATGAATTCTGTTGATATTATTAGTTGATCATGGCTTCATTTCATGTTAGGATTAGTTAAAGTCAAAAGTTTTTTTCTAATTATTAAGAATATGAAATAAATTAGATTTTTTTGATTAACGATTTGTAATTATTATTAGATTTGTGAGTAGTTTTGTTATTACAATTGATTGGTTTAATTGTTGAGAGATTTTTTTTCTCGATAAATTTAAGGTTAATTGTTAATTGGGATGGAAAATTGTTCATAAATGTAAACCAGTTATCGTGTTTGATTTAATAGGTAAGTTCAGGGCTGAGATTCTGAAAAGTTCAGTTTCCGATGAATTTTGAGTTCCAGTCTCCTGTTTGTCTTTTATAATCACAATGATCATTTTTTGTTCTAAATCATCATGTTCATCCCTTAATTCAGTTCTTAATCATCATGAAACAGACAAAAAGAAACGGTAAAAACGTGAGTTTGGTCAAAAAAAAGGTTCAATTTAATATTTACCTCTAATTGCCCTCAGGGGGAATGATTCTTGATTCTGAGGTGAACTCAAGGTAACGATAACTTCATCCTTATCATGATGATAATCAACTACGATGATTAAATCAATTAGCTGAGGTTTCATTTAAATCATCAATTATTGTCTCATCTCTTTACATTTGTAACAAACTTTAATTTGGTTTGAATCATGAACAATCATTATTTAAAATGAATTACTATTAATCACAATTAAAACAAATCGAAAATTATGATTAATGATTAACACTGATTCAAACTGATTTGATTAATTGTTAATCATTACAATATTTGATTGTTGTTCATTAATAATAATAATAGTCTCAAGTTGTTATATTTAGTTGTTAATTTGATGATTATAATTAATTTTTTTTTTCTTAATTCTGTTGTATTAATAATACATTGAGACATCAGTTTTAAATTGTTATCATTCAGTTAATTCAGTTGATTAACAATTAACTGTTTGTTTGATTGTTTGTTTTTTGTTCGCGTTGATTGTTAAATTGTCTTTAAATTGCTCGTGTTGAACAATAATTATTTATTGCTACAATTTTGGTGGTTTTAATTGTTAGTAATCAAAAATTTGTTGATGCATAAATTTTTATATTCATCATCAATTGTAGTTGATTATTTTTTTTTTAATTGTTACAATTATTTGATTCTCATTTGTTGGGTTGATTAAACTTGAAATGTTACTTTTTTTTCATCATCTTAATTAGTTAACTATTTATGTAATTATAATAAAGTAAATATATTAATTGTCTCACTACCAAATAGAGCAATTTATTAATTGTTGTTGATGATAAAACTAAATTCATAGTTGATTATTTGCCAAACTATTGTTTTCATTGATTTATATTATTAAAAATAGTTAATCAATTGATTGTGATTAACTATTTTTTCATTGATTATTTTCACAGTTATTAACAGTTAATTGTTGGATTATTTTGATTCAAGTGGCCAATTAAATCCAGTTAACAATCAAATGATAATAACCTGATATCAATGATTTAAATTAAAATCAACAAAATTAACTAATTGTTTGTTCATTGCAAGTTAATTGTTCATGGTAAAAGCAAGTTAATTAATCATCTTTTTCATCATCATTTAGATTATGATGATTAACATTTTCTTAGGTTAATAATTAATGGAAATAAAAACCTGAAATTTAAATTGTTTACTTAATCATTAGCAATTGTAATTAAACACCTAATTAATTATCGGTAAATTGTGATTCAGGTCAAAGTGGATTAAGATAATCATCCAACGTTGATGAGATTACGTGATTAACTGATTATTGGATATTAATTGTTTCTCGCTAATTATAACAGTTAGGAAGCTTCATTGGCAATGATAATGATTAATCAGGAATCGGGTTAATTGTTGATTTGTTTGTCTGTTTGATTGTTTGGCCAATTGTTTTACCACACATTTTGTTTGACAATTAAAACTTTTTAAATTGTTTAATGGATTGAGTTTTTTTGTTGTTGACAATTTGTTTTGAAAAAAAAACAATCATTTTAATTATTTGTGATTTTTTTGTTGTTGTTGTTGAATATAATTATGATCATTCTGGTTAAGCCTTAATTTTTTGGCTACAATTTAAAGGATATCAATCAACCATTAACAAGTTTGATGGTAATGATGAAAAGTTGATGATGAATACGTTGATTGTTGATACAATTGATGATGATATTAACTCATTCATGGAGGATATTTAAGATAATTAGTTTCACGTTTGATTAATACAATTTGATTGTTTGTGTTTGCTGAGATTACAAATTATCTTTACATTGATTATGTTTTAATATAGAGAAACAAATTGTATCATTTCAATTATTATATTGTTATCCTCGTTTCCCTTTAATTCAATCAATTGTTAAGGTGTGTTTTGTAGGTGGATGATGATGATAATGGCGGTGGTGGTGGTGGGAGTGATGTGTGTGTTTTGAGATGATGTGATGATTAGCTTGGAATTGAGATATAATAGAATTTAAATAATTTAATTTGTTTCTTTCACTTTAATATCTTAGACCTGGTCCAGTGTTTCCTTGGTTACCAGTGCCGGTTCCAGTACCACCGAAAGCTTGATTCATTGCTGAACGGGTTAATGATGTGGCCACAGCGCTTGTCGCTTGACGGGTGAAATCATTGGTCATAACATTTTGACGGAATTCTTCTTGTGCTTTAGCTAATGAGGCACCGGTACTAGAATAGATATTGTGTACTCTTAATAGGATAAGAATATTTGATGCTGCATTAATGATCAGGACGATGGCGACGAGCCAGATAAATACTCTTAAAGCGATACTTTCATGTGATTTGAAGGCCGTTATCAGGCCACAAGCAACACCGGTGGGTAGACCAATGGCCCAGAAAACGGAGAAAATACATTGAAAGAAGAAAACGAAGAAGAAAACCATAAAATTAACAGCACTATCATTTCGAAAGGCCTTGTACAAAGGTCTAAACCAGCACATGAACGAGGCTGGTGTAAGAAAGATTAACATAAGTATTGAAGAGGAGAATATGTTATGATCACCATCAACAGAGAAAATTGCTAATCCACCAAGAAAATTAACAAATAAGACTAATACATTAATCATCCATAAACGATAACCATAATTGACTATCTTCTGAAATTCTGGTGGAATTTCAACATTTATATCTTGATAAAGACAAGGGCCAACGGGACAGAATTTGGGTATCGGAGGCCAATTGTTTTCTTTAATGTTGGTTGATGCAGTTCTCAGAGCTTCTTCTCGAGCAGCTAATTCGGCAGCTTTTCTTTCAAGTTCCTCCTGACGCCTTTGTAATTCAGATTGACTTAGAGTTGGTCCTGATGGTGGTTGTGATTGGGCAGTTACGTCGGGTACTAAAATATAATCACCGAAAGGAAAAGAAATGAAAAAACATATTGTAAGTAATCAAGAATAAACGAGAGTCTTTACAGAGAGAAGATAGAGAGAAAACAGAGACAAGGGCAAAGACAAGAGAAATGTCAATATAGAGAAAGACTGAAGAGAATAAGAAAATAGATTGGTAACAATTACAAACAAAATTGTTAATCACTTCGTCCCAATTGTTGTCAGGAACATTCACAGGCTCTGATCCAGGAACACCAGCATATTGAGGCCAAGCTTCCTGTCCATTTCCAGCCATGATTTAAATTCACAGAGGAGAAAAGAAAAACAAAATATAAAAATATTAACTAATATTCGAGTTGACAATTGAGAAATTTTGTAAACAAATAGTTTTGAATCATCAACAAGAACTGATTCCCCACAGAGATGATCAATACAGAATAAATTTCCTTTAATTCTAATAAGTGTTATTGACTTTCCGTCTCCGGAAAATCACCAAGGAGACACTTTTCCTCTCCCCTATAAGTAAACCTTTAGCCGCTTCTTACGAAAATACAATTAAATCATATTACATAACAACATTAGAATCAACAATCATCAAAATCAAATCAAATCTACGATTTACGTAGATTTGAACAATGAACTAAAACAAAACGAAAACGAAACACCGATAAAAAATGAACAATAAACCAGGAGCAAAAAACAAGGAGAGAAAAGTATCAAAATATTCACAATAAAACTAATAGAAACCGTCCAAGTTGTAGATAAGAAAATTCTAATTAATTCGACCAAATAGAATCAGAATTAAATATTATTTCAATCATCTAATTAAAGTAGAATAAAAAACTTACCATTGTTAATAAAGAGAAATTAAAATGAACATCTAATCAAACTGTTGCTATGGTTTGGAAAGGAACAAATTGATTGGCCTATAACATGACAATGGAACAATAATTAAACTGAAACAACAGCAATTCGATAGAAACCCAATTGATTTAACCTTAAAGTGTCCAAATTATCAATTAAGAATAGAATTAATTGTTCACATTAGTGTTAATTTAAAATTAACTTAATTGAATAAACGAAGAGACAATTTGAAAGATTTTATAAAAAGCGGTAAAAGATGAATCCAGATGGAGCTTAAGTGTCTCCGTGGTAACAATCCGGAAACGGAAAGTGATTAGACTGAGACTGAAGCTTAAGCTGATACAAATTTTAATTTCAAGAGTTAAATTGTCAGATCACTAAGTGAACTTGAACCTTAATTTAAATTTTGGTCTTTTTTCTGTCTTTTTTCTTATAACCTCGTTTTTTTTACTCTCCTCTGTGAAGTGTAATCATGGCTGGGAATGGGCCTGAAAGTGCAAGGCCTAACTATGATGGCGTTGCTGGTATGGAACCTGATGGGGTTATCGATAGTAATTGGGACGAAGTAGTTACCAGTTTTGATGATATGGGACTAAAAGAAGAATTATTAAGAGGTATTTATGCTTATGGTTTCGAAAAACCTTCAGCTATCCAACAAAGAGCTATTATACCGTGTATAAAAGGTAAGATTGTTCATTTAACTTATTTCTCCTTGTCCTTCTCTCTTTTCCATTTATTCTCTCTGTATGTGTGTCTTTCTGTCTCTTGATCTCTCTGTCTTCCATTTCCCCTTCTTCATTTTGTATCCACTGTCTTTCTTTCCTGTCTTTTTCCTATTTCTCTCTTTTTCCCTTCTTCCTCTTGGTTTATCTTTTTCTTTTCTATAATTTTTTTCGTAACCCTTTTTTTCTCTCCTCTTATTTTAGGTCACGACGTAATCGCTCAAGCCCAATCGGGTACTGGTAAAACCGCCACCTTCTCAATCTCAATCTTACAAAAGATTGACACAAGTTTGAATGAATGTCAGGCTCTCATTCTTGCTCCAACTCGAGAATTAGCCCAACAAATTCAAAAGGTAGTTCTCTCCTTAGGTGATTACATGCGTGCCCAATGTCATGCTTGTATTGGTGGTACCTCAGTGAGAAGTGATATAAGTAACTTGGAAATGGGTACCCATATTGTTGCTGGAACTCCAGGAAGAGTTCTCGATATGATTGCTAGACGTGCTTTACGTACTGATCATATCAAGATATTTGTATTAGATGAAGCAGATGAAATGCTCTCCAGAGGTTTTAAGGACCAAATTTATGATGCTTTTAAAAGACTAGAAACGGATGTACAAGTCATCCTATTATCGGCTACAATGCCACAAGACGTCTTAGAAGTGACAAAAAAATTCATGCGAGATCCAATTCGTATCTTGGTGAAAAAAGAAGAACTTACATTGGAAGGTATAAAACAATTTTTTGTATATATTGAGAGGGAAGAATGGAAATTCGAAACTTTATGCGATCTCTATGAGACACTCACCATCACACAAGCGGTCATCTTCTGTAACACTCGTAGAAAGGTCGACATGTTGACTCAAAGAATGCAGGCCAGAGATTTCACTGTGTCTCACATGGTAAGTTGTTGAAATTTTCTATTCTCTTTTTCAACCCTTCAAATAAAAAGCATTGTGATACTTCCTTTTTCCATGAGTTTACAATTCGTCGATTGAAGGAAAATTATGAATTTCATGGGAAATGGGTGAGAGGATGAGAAATACTCTTGCTCTGAATCTCAATATCTCACGAGACAATTTTTCTTTTTTAAGCATCTAACTATAAACTCATTTTCTCTATCTCTCTTTTCAACAGCATGGTGACATGGAACAGAAACAGCGTGATGTTATCATGAGAGAATTTAGAACTGGTTCAAGTAGAGTTCTAATTACTACTGATCTTTTGGCTCGTGGAATTGATGTACAACAAGTTTCTCTTGTCATTAATTATGACCTGCCTACTAACAGAGAAAATTATATTCACAGGTGAGTTTCATTTTCCATTTTTTTCTTGCCTATTTCTCTCTCTCTCTCTCTGTTTTATCAAGAACATTAATAAATCTGTTGATTGTTTGTCTTGTTCATCTCAACAGAATTGGAAGGGGAGGTCGATTTGGTAGGAAAGGTGCTGCAATTAATTTTGTCACAGCCGATGATAAACGCAATTTACAAGATATTGAACAACATTATAACACCACTATAGAAGAAATGCCAATGAATGTCGCTGATCTAATTTAAATCAATTAATTCGATGCACGAGAATAACAAAAAGAAGATCCTAGTTCCGAACATGAAGCCAAGCGTTTTCATCAAGTTCGGTTAAGAACATTTAACTAAAAACAAAAACAAAACCATATACACACCACACGCATACAACAACCAACCAACATACCACAACCATTTTTTCGTCACTTTTCTCTTTTCTTGACTTAATGTAATCAACATAAACGGAAATCACACTAACTTGGTCAATACAATGATCGAAAATCTCCTTGATGAATATAATTTCATGGTGACTATATTCAGTCTTGTTTTCAAACAAAAAAAAAATCAGAATCAATTGAATCACTAAACCTTAAAAAAAACACAAAGATTTAAATAAAATTTTTGAATCAAGTTAATTGAAAAAAAAAACAATATTAGATTTCATTTGTTACCACAAAGAAAATTATATTATATCAATTAACCAATTATGTTTCTCCTTCCCCTTATCCCATTAATCTTAAACTCAAATTTTAATTACATTTATAATTGTATATCCTGGTTATTGTTCAGGGTGATTAACTTAACACAGCCACTAATGGAAAATACTAAAGGATTTAAGTTTTTTTTATTCTCATTAAGAATAATCTTTGATTTACTTTTAATCATTTCAATTAAATTTAAATTTTCCTCATTTTCCAAAGTGGCTTTTTTATGTTCTCATCTATTCAATTTTGATCACATAAATGATCAATTTGTGGTACAGCGATTATCACAATTGATTAATGTTTCCATGATTAACTTACAATTTAATCAACATTTTCATCTTTATTCACAATCAAATGATTAATTTATTTACTTTTTTTTTGCTACAAGTATTTTAGTTTCAATTAGTCAGTTAAGTTTTTCTTTGTTTAAGAGATGAGATTATGAGATTATGATAACAATTAAGAGAGAGAGAGAGAGTTTATGATCGTTGATTGTAATTGTAATTGTAATTGAATTAGTTAATTAGTTAACCTCTTGATCCCATGAATGCGTCTTTATAAGGTAACAAGTCTTTCTTTTTACTTTCATTTTGTCGCAATCGATCAATTAAAAGTAAAGGTGAGATGCCCATCGATTTGGCCATTCGGTTGATTAAAGTGCTTCGAATGTCAATATCAGAGCCGATCAGTTCACCCGCTCGACGGCCTCTTGACCCGACAAATCCAGGGGGTGGAGGAGGAAGATCATCGGCTAATCTTGATCCACCACCACCACCACTAATCCAAATGAAAAATGGAAAACAATTTAATTGGAAATTGAGTTGATAAAATTGATTAAATTGCTTAATCAACACTCACCTTTCCCGTTTACCGTACATCATCATTGGTTGATTAAAGTAATCATTTAACAACCAACCTTGATTTTCAGCGAGATTTTTATTGTTGATTGATTTACCATTGGGAATTAAATATTTGAGGAAAAACAATTTACTTGATTGTTGATCGGTTGTTGTCTGTAATCATAAGAAAATCAATTGCAAACCATTACAACTCTTGAAAATTTAAAGATAATCAAATTTTACTGATTAGTTAATCGTTAATCACTTACCGGATTACTGTTAATCCAACCATTGGGTTCATTTAATGATTCAGATGAAACTAGATGAAGACAACAATTAACAAGTGTAAATGTAATCACAATAATTATGGTATAGCTCATATTGATAAGTATTATGATGATTTAGCAAACAAAATGAAATCACAAGCAATTAAAATAATAAACTGGATTAAAACTCAATTGGATTGTTTTTACTGTACAAAAAAATAGAGATGAAAGTTAATTGTTGATATAAACTTGGAATTGTAAATCCAACAATCAACTGAATGTCCACATTTAAATATCCAAACTTATTAACTAATTGTGGTCACAATTAAATACGCAAAATCGTTATCATCGTAATAAAATTAATTTTACTTTGAGACAATCAAATTAAATTGTTAATCAATTGGGAAATGAGATAAATAAAAAAAAACCTATTCAATTGTAAGTAAATATCAAGAAAGTGGTAAATAATTAAGACAAACAATTAAATACTAACATTGAAAAATGACTTTCTGTCAATTGTGATTAAATATTTAATCACTAGACAATTTATAATTAAATTAGATTCACTATTACCATTAGTTTTGTAGCAAAAAAACAACAATTAACCTTTAATTAGATAAATAAGTAAGTCAATTGTTTGACATTGCATTTCTAATACGATTCAAATCAATTGGAACAATTAATTGATAGCATTTAACTAACCCTATAAGTAAAATAATCAACAATTAAGTCTAATTTAGTTAATTGTAAATTCAGGAAAAGATAATTGTCTTTTTTTCTTGTGGTTTCTTAAGTTCAAAATTGGTTTGAATCTAATCAGAAATTAAAATCAAACCGATAAAAAGTTTCTTTATTGTTCAAATTATCTTGACCACTGGTCAATTAAAGTCTATTGGATTCAAAGGAAAGATGGATTAACTTAATCTCTTGAGCTGATAAGATGTTAATCACAAAATTTTCAAAAATTAATATTTATCCGTGAATATGTTTTTTTTAATCAATGGAATCGCCAGTTTAATTAGACCGAGAAATCCAGAAGCAATTAAGATCATATTTAATTATGGTGATTGAAATTCTCAATTCGGGTAATCGAAACTGATAAACTGATTTAGAACTCATTGTTTTCACTTCACCTGAAGGTTCAGATTAAGATTAAGGAGATTACATGAAGAACCATGAATATTTGGCCCATTCAGAGTATTAAGATTAAGAAAAGGATTAGAGAAAATTATCACTCGATTGCTCAGTTCGACTTGAAAAGAGAGAGAAAAATTTCTATTCGATATTAAATTGTGCTCATTTCGAGTTCTAATATGACCCAATAAGACGAAGAGCAAATTCATGGGACAAATATGGAGACAGTGAAGCGATTCATCCATCTCAGAGTGCCAAGTAACGAGAGTTTCTATGATTATCTGATTGGAATAGATGATCAATATTCGTTGATTTTGGAAAAGATGAAACTCAATTTGATTATATTCGACTTTTGGGTCTCCGTTCCTACCATCGTCAATTCGGGCATCCCTTATGTGACCTTGTGGTCAACCAACCCTCTTCTCGTCTACTGGTCATATGGAGCTCCCCCTTACTCGTCGGCCTTTGAAATCAACGACGATCCCAAAGAGTTTGAGAAGCTGAGGATCGCCTTCAATGAGAGTTTAGCAGAGATTAAAAGTTCAATCGATTAATCGTCAATCACCTCAAATGTCAATTGCCATTCGGCTACCTGAGTACATCCAATTACCAGTTGATGACTCGATTGATTAACATTCTCGGTAAATCACCACACAAATTCATCGTCTCGAAGGGTATTCACCATGAGAAGATGCTATTACCTGGTAACATGACCGGAGCCAAATACTTGAATCAGATGAAGATCATGCCTCGAGTGGACATGGTCATTCATCATGGTGGAAACAATAGTTTCATTGAGACTCTTTACTTTGGTAAACCTTTTATTGTGATGCCTCTTTTTGGCGACCAACATGATAATGGCCGAAGGGCAATCGACAAGAAGTGACCGAGGATGAACTTGTCCAAGGAATCGATGAGATTCTCAACGATAACTAACTAATTGAAAGAGTGAAATTGATTGGAAAACATTTGAAATCCACAAAAAAATCATGAAGTTTGAATGAGAAATTAAGCAAAATGATTAAACAATTTAAATCGATTGCAATCAAACAATCTAATCAAATCAAATCAGATTTATTTTAATGAGTCAAATAAAGAAAACCAATGTAATTAGATTAATTGTTTATTATTTAAAATGAAATTAAATTGTTGACAATGAGATAGAAGCAAAAATCAAACAGTTAAGTTATAATTTGTTTCGCAATTTACATTGATTTCAATTTGATATCAATAGAATTTAATTATTTTCTTTAGCATTTAATGAGACGATTGTTAATTGTGTAAATAGATATTAATTGATTGTGACCATCTTCTTAATTGTTTATCTTTTTCCACCCCAAGTACGAAAAGGTTTCTCACTTTTCTTACCAAAAATCATATCGATTCCATTTCCACCGGATACTGATGATCGTTTATCATCAATTAACGATTTATCTGATGATGATGATGATGATGATGACGATGAACCAGAACCATTAGGTGACGATGATGATCCTCGAGATGAGGTTCGATAACTCTGAACTTCAGGGTGATACATATAAGGTAGACCAGTTAGTCCAGGACCCCATTCGTATCTGATGATTGGTCTAATGATTTGCTTATTGTACCAAGGTAATTGTTGATCTGATGATTGAGGCTTAATTTTGATTGGATTAAGATTAGATTGATGATAATTATCGTAATTTTCGGGATACAGATCACTGATTGGATTGTAATCTATTGATGATGTTGACAAACCAATGGTAATTGTTGATACACAGAGAGCAAAATAATATAATGATAACATGATTAACTTATCAACAATTTGGCGCAAAGTTTTCACCACAATTAAAGTTTCACAGTTTCCAACGAAATTTAAATTGTTGACTTTAATTCACAATCTTTACCTTTCAATGTTAATACAACGATGATGAGATCTTTTCGATTGCGAGTTCGAGCTTACTTTGATTGGAAAGTTTTTCGAAACTTTAAGTTTTGTTCTCTTTTTGTATAGAATCGAAATTTTTTCAGATGATTTTTTTTTCTCTCTCGAAACAAATATCATATTCGTTTCCAATCCGATTTAGTAATATGATCAAGATAATATAATTTAAGTCGAATAACAATATTATTAGATTGTTGTTATTTTCTTATTTGTTTCTATTTCTTTTTGGTTCTAAATTTTGTTCGTTATCGACGACGACGTCAATTCGATAGTACATATATTGGAAGAAACCTCGATAATTGATCGATTTACTTTGCAACTATTTCGTTATTAAATTTATTTCGATTTGTTATTATTTTCTTTTTTTTTGTTCGAGTAACAATTTAATCTTAAAAGCATTTCCATCATTATCCTTTTGATAGATTTACCTTTATAATGGATTGATAATGTTACAGGTAAATAAAGATGAAGATGATGATAATGATGCAGACAAATAGGCTTAGTAATATAATATTTTTCCATCATGAAAATCTGATTCCATGATAGTTCAATTCACCCACCTCATTATTTTCCAACATAATCAATATGATTATTGGTTAAATTTTCATCATTTCAAATTCAATTTGTTAATCATTCACTTGTATTGATATAAATCTCATTTTCTTATTTACTTTTCTATTATTTACCAATCCATTTATGTATTTATTATCAATATGATTTTGATGGTAATTAATTGAGTTACTAATTGTTTTCAGTTAATTTGTTATTAGATTGATGGCAAAAAAACTGATTAAGTTTTGATTAGCAAAAATTAGTTGTTAAATTTTCCAAGAGATGGCGACACATGACCGGCACTTGTGATTAAATTGTAACAATTAATTTGGTTTAATTGATTAATTGTTTTGGATTTTTGTTCATCTATCATTTGTTGATAATCAACCAATTGTGTTATTTTAATCACAAAAATTTCAACAATCAATTGTGTATTGTTTAATTCAAAGGGTTTTTCTGATCAAATGATTTATTTACTTAAATACAATTAAAACATTTTTCTTTACAAAATTATTAATTTATGATTAAAATACAATTGATTGGAAAACAATGGAAATTGTGGATTGATTAATTATCGAAAGATGGGAAAAAATTTAACATCAATTGACTTTCCAATGGAGACAATTAGTGAACAATTAAGATCTAATATCGATTTGGGTGTGAAGGGCAAGACAACCGATTTCGTGTCCATTTGATGTCCATCGAATGACAAGTTCATAAGTTCCCTGGATAATATAAGACGAGAGAATGTGATTAGAACAATTTATCAACAATTAGGCCCAATGAGAGAGAGAGGAAGAAAGGTAAACAATCAAATTAAATCAGTTAGGAAAATAGTAAAACAAACAAATTGAACTTAAAATAACTTTTTCAAGTTGGAAAGTTAATCCATTTGGTTTACATCAAAGTCAAAGAAAAATCAAAGTTGATTAATCAACGAGTCTCTCATTTTAGGAATCAGAATCAACTGATTGTGGTCAACTAGTTAACTTACAGAGGCAGCGGATAAAAGTACCGAGGGAATCCGAGAAAAAGTTTTGGTTTTGATATTATAGTTAACGGTACCCTGGATGTGGCCTGCGTTCAGTTCACACGAAAATGGTACATTAAGCTGTTCGGCAAATGACCTGGCAAGGTCAGAGTACGATTGTACAAAATGGCAGAATGAACCAGAGCACGAACCGACGTCATTAATGCAAGGTATTTTAACGGAACTTTGAATACCAAGGACTGAAAAGTATCGACGGAGGTCAGTTGATATTTGGACATTACTGTCAAGTGGATCTAAAACATCAAAAGCGACATCAATGTCAATAGGCTGATGTGAGTCCACAACTAACGGTGATTTAAGGCCAACTTTAGTGAAGACCAATGATCGATCGGCTTGGCCACAATCTTCCCAGGCCACATCGGCACCAAATGAAACGATAGGTGAAACTAAAAGTATTACAACAATTAAGTTAAACATAATTAATGAAAATAAATCGTCGACAAAAACAAAAGCTCAAGTTTAATTCAACTGTTAATTATCACAATATAAGAGTAAATTTGATTGACAAATTAACTGATCTAATTGTCTAACAGTTATGGGAACAATCAAACCAAATGCCAACCATTTAAATGATTTTAATATCGATCAATCCAAGGTAACAATTAAGATCAGCTTTCTAATTGTTTCAATCATGAACCTTTGGAGATTAAAATGAATCATAATGGTTTATTTTTTCATGATTTGCAATTAGATTGTAACTATTACAACAATTTACTAATTCTTTGGGTGCAATTAAAAAGATAAACTCAAAACAATAATAATCTCATGATGTAAAGCAAAAATCTTAATCACAAATCCTTAACAATAGGATATTGATTGTTAATCAACTGAGATAATCAAACACCAACGAAAAGGTTAATTGTTACCTTGGATAAGTTAATCAACTAAATTGTTTAATATATTTACCCAACACTCAGATATAAACCTGAAAATATCAACGATGATCAATATACAATTAACAAACAATTAACAAACCCAATCAATACGAAAAACAATTTGATTAAGTGAAGGTCAAGATCAAGTCAATTTACTTAAAAAACAAACAACAATGTAACAATTAATCATTTGGGGTTTAAGATTAGTTGGATTAACAATCAAAGGAAATCAAATTGATACTCGGAGAGCAAAAAATTAACTAATCACCAAGAATTAAGCAAAAAAACACATTCAAATAAATGATAATATTTAAAGACACATACGAATGATAATAAGTAACAATAATCAAGAAATCGTTAATAATGAAGTTGCTAACAACAAATTCATTTCAATCAATCAAATCAACAACAACAACAATCAAAGAATCAACAATAAACAAAAGCAATTCCCATGCGATATTAACGTTATCGGGATGAAGTTTACGAGAAAAAAAAAGTTTTTCCAACAACAGAAAAAAAGAATCAACAATTTCAATTGAAATTCAACAGGTTGAACAACCTTTTCAATAGGAATTCAAGGTAACCTATTAGATTCCCAGTTCTTTTTCTTATTCTTCAGGTAAACAGAAAATTCTGAACTTCAACTGAGTTAAATGAAAGAAATGAAAGAGAAACAAATACATATACATCTCTCTCTCTTTCTCTATCTCTCTATCTCTCTCTCTGTGAATATTAATTCTTGTTTACTGATGATTACAATTGATGATGAAGATGGATAACAATATGAGAAGCTGAATAAATGAATTGAAAGATTGATGCTGAAAAAAAGATACTTAAATTTGAGAAAGAGAATTTTTTTCTTCCAAAATTAACAATTGAATCTCAATGAATGATAACATTAATTTCAGAGCTTAAACATTATCATCTTCAGAATAAAATATCTAGAATTTGAGGTGATCTCTTTTCATCTTGATGTTCATCATTTTTTTTTTGCTCTTTCATGTGAATGCACAATAATAGATGATGATGATAATAATAACTCTCCATTTAATGGGACTCATTCCCGTTCGTCCCATAACATATTATGTACCTTAGATTATTGATGCAATTTCGACGGAGGTCAATATTCGATTAATTCTGTTGTTCGCTCTTTTTTTTTAAACAGAAAAAAAAGAGTAAAAAAGAAAGATGGAAATGATGATGATGATGATGATGCAAAAGAAGCATCAAGATGATGATGAAGAGATTGAGTGAAATCCTCTGCTCATGACTTAGAAATCAAAAGAAATGATGGATTATGTGAATCTATCATTTAACAAATACAATAAAAGGTATAAAATGTTTACCGCTCTCACTTCAAGGCCGATGATGAGGATGAGGATGATCTAGAAAATGAAGATGGAGATAAAGAGAGAGAGAGAGAGAGAGAGAGACAGCATCTCCTTTCCATTGGAAATCTAAGAGAAAAATAAGAATAAGAAAGAAAAGAAGGTGAGACGAACCGTATGGCTTCTTCATCTTCTTATTTAACGTCTTCTCTTCCTCATCTTCCTCTCTCTCTCTCTCTCTCTCTCTCTCTCTCTCTCTCTCTCTCTCTCTCTGACCTCTTTGGCCTTTTTTCTTACAGAAAACTAGGTCTTCCCCGATAAATGTCAATAATTTTCATCTAAATGTGTTTGCATCAAATAACCTTTTCCTTTCTCATCCTCTCTTAGTCTCTCATCTTCATCATCTTCATCAACTCTACCCCCTTTTAATTGGTTAACCGAAGTGAAAATTGTAGATTTACCTGTAAAAAAGGTGAGAATGATGATAAGATGATGCTAAATGATGAGGATGGTGAACAAGAAAGAAACAAAAAAATCAGTCAAATCAATTCGGGATTAGTGTCTTCTTTTCATCTTCATCATCATCATGAAGATAAGTGAGTGAGTAACAGAGTGAGAGAGAGAGAGAGAGGGAAAGATGTTAAAACATTTTACCATTTCAATCTGATAATAATGCTGAAGATAATGATTATGATGATGATGATGATGATTCCTTTTCATAACAATTAACTTTTCTCATAATAAATTAGATTTAATTTACAAGCCTCCCAGTCAAAATTAATCAATTTTACCAATCAATTGATTAGTCTGCAAACAATTCATTAATTCCTATAATATATAATTAACTTAACCATCATCAAGAAATATTAATTAGTGATTGTATCATCATCATCATTTAAATTTTATCCGTTAATTAAGCAAAAAAATATATAAAAAAAAAAGATTGACATCTTTCAAGTTCATCTTCCTGTTTATCCTCCTTTGTCCCTAATTGTTGACAATAAAATTAATTAATCAAATTTTATTCATCACAATTAACCAATGAATATCTTAATTGTTATTTTTTTTCCAACATTTAATTGTAAACATAGAGAATCAACAATTAAATCAACCAAATGGTCCTCATGATGATAATAATAACCATCAACTCTGTCAGGTCATCAATCCAACAACAACAATGAAAGATTATGAAAAAAGATAAAAAAAATGAATCTAATTATTCAAAAATTAGAATCAACTAATTGTTAACAATTAACTTTTTTTCCCTTTAACTCATTCCTCTTTTGATTGAATCTTTTGTCTTCCCATTCAATTGGTACTTTATAATATAATTAAATTAGTTAATTTACTTTGTTGTCTTGTAAATTTTTCCATTCCAATCATTTAAATTGTTTACATTTCCGTTCGTTAATTGTAATTAAAACTAAATTAATCGTCGCTGGGTTTATCAATATGAGACAATGAAATGATGAGGATGATAAGGACTCGCCCAGGAAAGATGATGATAAATCTTGAGTGAGTTTAATTTGTTAATTGTTAATCAACTTTGGGTCAACTTTAAATTGCAATTGATTTAAGGTTTTAATTGTCGTTGCTTTTAATTATATTAATAGACAAAAGATTTAATTATAATCATCATCTTGAAGACAATTTTTTTTCCTCTTTCTTTTTTCTTACTTTATCATCGCTTTTTGATTTTAAATTGTTATCATTAAATTAAATTGAATACAATCAAAGTCTATTCAAAATCAACCAACCTTTTTTGTTTTGTTTACAATCAAAATATAAATATAACTTGATGACACTTTTAAATGATTAACAAAAGGTAAAGCAATTAGATTATCATTATCATCATCATAATTAGCATACTAATTAACTGAAAGATGAGGATGAGGATGATGATAATCTGTCACCTTTTATCCTCAAGATGAATATGATCATTATATTAATAGTAAAGTTGACAAAAAAAACGAGTCCTCATCATCATTTGCAATTTGAATTAATTGTTGACCAGTATTTTTGTTTTCTTTTCAATTTCCAACAATTAGTTAATTGCTGTGAATTTGCATGATAATGAAACTAAAGATGAAGCAAAAGTTGATGGATTTTTTTTGAAAAAAAGGCCAATAACAATTTAGATTATTATTTAACTGGTTGAAAATATTTTCCAATCAAATGAACAACAATCAATCGTAATTGTGATAATTTACCTGTAAGTTTTTTTCTAGATGAAGTTGTGATGATAAATGATGATAAGTTGAGCCTTTTCATCCTCCATTGAGCATTGAGAGAGAGAGAGAGAGAAACTTTCATTGGGAAAAATATTCTTTTTATTATATTTAAACGTTAGAACTTTTTTTCCATCGAATTTGCAAAAAAAAAGTTATATTTCAAATTGAATTCGTTTTCAACTGTTACCTGATAAATTGTATGAAGGATGAGAAAAAGAGAATGAGTGAAAGATGATAACCAAAGGCGATTCTGATGAATTATTTGTGAGAGAGAAAGATGATGAAAAATAAGATGATGAGAAGATGAAGATGAGAAAAAAAAGTTAAAGAAAAAGGAAAAAGAGGAGGTGGAGGTGGATAATGAAGATGAAGATGATGATGAAGATAAAAAAGAGAAGGTAAAAGAGGAAGAAGAGAAGCAAACTTCTCACTTACACGGATGATGATTTTCTCGCCTTGAATAGTACACAAAACATAAACACACAGTAATCCAAACGCTACAACCAACATCATCTTCATCCTCATCACCAACAACATCATCATCATCAAGATTGTTGAACGTGTTGAAAGAGCCCAACCGAGAGTTGAACTTGAATGTTTCTTATATTTCCTACGAAAAGAAAAGAAGATGAAAAACTTATCTCTTTCTGTCTTTTTTTATCTTCCTCATCTTCTTCATCTCAACATTTCTCTCTCTCTCTCTCTCTCTCTCTCTCTCTCTCTCTTATGCCAAAATGAAGAGAAGAAAAAAAGAAAAAAAAAGTCAACAAGAAGAAGAAGAAACTTTTCTAATATATTCAATTCTCTTCAACTATCAACACTCATTCACTTTCACACAGAGAGAAAAACACTTAATCGGATTTCCAATGAATACACAAAACCATTGATTTGTTCACGTAACACTAAATAATCAACCAACTAATCAACTAAACTTAAACAATATTAACTTATCATCCTCATCCCTTATCATATTTCCTCATCATCTTTGCCGCATCTTTTTTTTTAACGACGTTTTCACTTATTTTTAAACTTATAATCTTTTTGCAAAAAGAAAAATTTTTTCATTTTTCTTCCAATCATAATCATCATCCCCATCATCCTCATCTTCATCATCATTA